AGAGGAGAGGAGAGGGGAGGGGAGGAAGGAGAGTAGGGAGAGGAGGAGGGGAGAGAGCAGAGGAGAGGAGCCACGGCCGACCGATCTTCACACACACACACACACACACACACACACACAGACAGACAGACACACACACACACACACACACACACACACACACACAGACACACAGACACACACACACACACAGCGCGCCTCCAGAGCCGTCACGGTGACGTCCAAATTGCCAGCCACACACACACACACACACACACACACACACACGGTGCGATAACTTTTCGGGTCACCATGATGCTGACAATCATGATGTGATGTGTTTTTCCTTCATTTTCAAAGCGTTCTTCTCTCTTAGAGTTGATCATGTGATGTCGATTTCTCTGCTCTTGGTACTATTTTCAACTAGAAAATCCTCGGCGATCAAGCATATCTCTGAATTTTTGATCTGCTCGTACGCACTCTCTCTGTCTCTCTCTCTCTGTCTCTCTCTCTCTTCGAAATGGCAGCGGCATCGTCGTCGGCGTCGTGGAAGGATCGCCTGGCATCGGCCAAGGGCCGCGAAGCCCAGGCGCCACGGAAGGTGAGCTTTGCCGTAGGGCTTGATGGCTTGCATCTCCTGTTGATCAGGCTGCGGCTGCAGCTGTTGCCGCCTCGCGTGCTTGTCGCCACCTGCTGACGTGACACACCACGCCGCCGCCGCCGCCGCATCAGAATGTGATCGTGTTGCTGGCGCTGGGCGCCTTGTTGGTGGGCGGAGCTGTCGTCCTCATGTCCAAGCCTCAGACAACGGCTTCGCTGCCTCAAATGGAGCAGGGGTCAGCACTATCAAAGCGTATGTTCATTGGCTCCGCACCACCAGTCTTCTCATCGCCAGCTCATGGGTTTGATGGAACACTTCGAGCAGCAGATGGTGCCACGAAGCATGTGCCCGATCCAGCCGATGCGGCTCGTTATCAAGCTGAACATCCTGACGTAGAGGGCGTCGAGATTCAAGAACTTTGGCTCCGGGACCTGGCCAAAGATGCTGACAGCGAGTTGGATAAACGCGTTGCGCAGACTGAGACGGCGAGCATTTTTGTCCGGACAGCCCGCGCGACCATGCCGGGCGCCACACATTTTCCGGTCCGTCCAAGTCGCTTCATGCTTCTTATCACAAGAACACAGAGTCCTTTTGCTCTTTTCGTCCTCAGGGCTCACCTTGCGCGCGTGGTTGTAGGTGCTGCTGCTGCACGGAGCCAAGTTTTCCAGTGCCACATGGGTTGAATTGAAAACCATGGACGAGCTTGGTTCGTCTTTGTGCTGGGTTGAATATCGATGGCTAAACATGCCAGGCCTCCCCTTTTGCTTCTGCGCCTCCCGCAACTCATTGATATGATTTGGCCCTTGGACTGGGCTTCTGGTCTCGCTCCGTGTACAGCTCGGGCTGGCTTTGATGTGTATGCCGTGGATCTGCCCGGTCACGGGCGCTCAGCTGGTACGGCGCCACTGGCTCCCATGCGAGGCTCCCTCCTGCACACAATCATTGAGGCTTTGGAGCTCGATCATCCCGTGCTGGTTGCACCATCCATGTCTGGTACGTTGCACGTTGTTGTTGTCGGGGCTTATTTGTGCACCCACCTGACTTGAGCGGTCCCTGCCCTTTTGATCATAGGGACGTATGCCATACCACTCGTCCTATCCCACCCGGACGTCTTGAGTGGCTTTGTTCCCATTGCACCGGCTGGGTTGGATATGGTGGATGCCCAGGGATTGGCCCACGTACGCACCAGCCATTGCACCTTGCAGCCAAATGCTTGCCGCGAAGTTGGCGTGCAGGACACTCATGAATAGCAAGGGGCTGCTCATTGGGACGTAGGTTTCCATTCCGACGCTGGTGATGTACGGTTCCGAGGATGCCATGGGTCTGAAAGGGCTTCCCGTGCTGGAAACCACTCCCAATCATCATACCATTGTCTTTGAGTGAGTCAATGGGCCCGCAGCGAGTTGTGCACATGTGCCTGTATGACTCCATGACAGCCGCGCTGACACTTGAACCAATCGCGTTGTCCTGATACTACAGGGGTGGATCTCACGCGTGCTACGTCGAGAGCCCAGAGAAGTTCAATCGCCTCTTGGTGCAGTTTGTGCGGGACATGACTTTACTGGCTTAGCTGAGTTTCAAGTTGTTGTAATAAAGCACTGCACATGTCAATTAAAGGATCAAAATATTGTACACGGGTGGTTCAGCTCCCGCGGATGTGGCACCGCGGATTCTAAACACACTTTGACCCAACTCGGACACAACAAGATAGGCCTGACGATGCATGCGTACATGTTGACAGACAAACAGACAAATGTCACAGGGCAGGCACCTCGTCGACACCTTTTACACATCAGCACAAGCAAGCACATTTGCACGAGGCATTTGCACGCAGAACATGGCTCACAGAGCTAGCAATGAATAGAGTGCGCGTGTGTTTGACGGCCTCATTGGGCGCTCAGCGTCCACGAACTAGCCGAATGGCTTCACCTTGTCAAGGGCTTCATGCCGAGACGGTTGCTCAGGCATTTGCGTTGGCTGGGTGAATGCCAAGCTCGGTGAGGCAGGCATCAGCAAACTCGGTAAAGAGGGGGATATGGCGGGCACGTTTCATAGCGGCGGGCGCGTTGGCGCTATCATCGATCTCATCCAAGAGGTTGCGAAGATGGTGATTGGCAAGCATGTCACGCACAGTTTGACTCTGTGCAAGTGCCGCAAGTTGTGCCGGCGACAAGCTATCTGAAACATCGTCCTCATCCAGCTGGCGCGGCGGCAGCACCTCGGGCTGCGGTCGGCGCGTCACGCGAGACACAACCTCACATGGCGTGCTCGAGTGGCGTTTGTAGCACGCAGCCGAGCAATATGGCAGCCGACACCGCGGGCACTTGTACTTTTGAGGGTGCTGCAAGCACACTTTACAGCACCGATCCCCACCAGCCGCGGAAGATGCAGCCCCATCAGTCGTCGCCGTCGTCGTCGCCTCCACCGCCGCTCCACGGTCTTCTGCCATGACGCCGGCACACACTCACACACACACGTGTCCTCTCTCTCTCTCTCTCTCTCTCTCTCCGAGTTCCCTGCGAGTCTTGTGAATATAAAAATGACTCCTTTTAACTAACATGTCAGATACAGTGAATTGTCAGCGCAAGGAGCATTACGGATTTTGCTTATGGCGTCTCGTGTGGTAGTTTAACGTTATTAAGGAGTTGAGGTGGGTCACGCAGGTGTGGCAGAGTTACAAAGGTTACAAAGGGGGTTGAAGGAGAATAGGGGGCAAATGTGGGGTCGTCGTCGTCGGTCATGCCTTCTGCTTTGTGCTGCCTGGCTGCGGCGGGCTGATGGTGATTGTTAAGGCGGATTACTTGCGGATTATGCGCTACTTTCGCTATCCTCCAAAGTCAACACTGTGCCCGACAGCAGTTGACGCGGCAACAACCTCAGGCCAGTGCCCCTTTTGAGGCAGCCAGACTCACGCACCCTCGTTCCTTGCGGTGGATCCCAACAGCGCAAAAATACTTACGTGTTAAAAATATCAATTTCCACGAGTGCAAGTGCCACGCGGAAGACACACAGAGACGGGGGGTGGGGCGCAAGGTCTGTCTAATCAGATGGTCGCTCCTGCATCATTGTCTTCATCTGAGAAATTTCGGTCCAAGCCCGCTCCGCGTTGTCTGCGGCTTTCCGGCAGTAATCCATGTCAAAACTGAAAGGCACTGTCTCTTGGCGCAAGTGCTTTTGTGTGTGCGAGGACACAACATCAAGAACAAACTCAGGTGTGCCGGCGCGCTCAGCCATATCAAGAAACTGCTCCACGTTGCTGGCTTTTTTCATGTCATTGCACTTGTAATAATTAGTTTGCTCATGAAAGTGTGTGCGAAGCATATCACGGGTCCACTTTGGAGCATTGACTTGCTCGTACACTACGCCAGCGCAATGCGAGCCATTAGACGGGGGCAAGGACGCAAATCATTAGTCAGACCCAGGGGCAAGCTGGTCGGCGCAGGCGGTTCACATACCAAAGCGGATCTTCTCGTTGCCGTTCATGCGGCGGATCAATTCCGCCGCGTGCGGCTCGTGCGTGACGAAAAGGAAGCGGACGTTCTTGTGGCGCAGGCCAATATCCTTGAGCCTGAGGATAAACTCTTCAAAGTATTGGTGAAGCCGAACCTTGTCCAGCTCGTCAAAAATGATGTAGTAGGGGCGATCGTTCTCGGCAACGCCTTGAGGCTTGGCAAAGTATTCTTCAAGACTAATTGATTCCATCTTCTTTCCAACGCCAAAATGTTGCAACAACCACTCGTCAAGGTCTACGTGACCCTCCTGAAAGCGTTGGTTTCCGCAAATGATGTCTGCTCCAGCAATCTTGCCTTGCGCCTTTAATAATTTTTTCATCAAGACGCACATTGCATATGTTTTTCCATAGCCAGGTGGCGCGCAAAGGATACGAACAGGCACGGTGCCAATGCTAAGAGCGGCTTCGATGGCATCCTGCAATTGCTCGTTGACAACGTTGGTCACCTTGGGTACCAGAGAAAAATCGAGGCTGGCCTTGTCCATGTTCTGCATGTGTTCGAAGATAACCATCCGTTGAGCCTCAATGTCTTCATAGTTCAGCTCCTTGCGCCGCTCCTGAGCGCTCAGCTCACTTTCAGTAGCAGTGGCGTTGTTGGCTTTGGTGTCTAACAAAATGGTTTCTCTGGTCACGACGCTGCCCAGGGCTGCCGCAAAAGCCGTCCCAGCCATAAGCAGGCCAAGGGCGGTGGAAAGTTGTAGGTCTCCGACAGACCCCTGAAGAGCGGATTTCACCGTCTGTTGGCCATTACGTCGATGCGCCACGGACACAAGCCGCAACGGAATTCGTGGCCCGACAAGCGTTCGAGTCAAAGCACGGAACATAGCGCTTGATGGAACAGTTAATGAAACGGTCTGAAACGGTTTTTCGTGTGTGTGTGTGTGTGTGTGTCGGGGGGCGGGGGCGGGGTGTATATGCCCTGAGCACCACGACGCAACGGAAAGGAAAGGCACCGCCAAAGCTTAAAGATGTACGGGTAATAAAATCCAGTCGCGGGGCAAATTCTCCCACGCTGCCAGTGGCAGGAAAAAAAAAAAAAAGCTTCTATGGCCTGCCATAGCCATATGATACGCCTTTCAAGCACAATGACATGCACTTACTGTGATAATGTTTTAATTAAAGAGAGGCATATTCAATATTAGATAGTACACGAGCAATTCAAGGGTTTGTGGCGCCTCGTGTGGTAGTTTAACGTTATTAAGGTGTTGAGGTGGGTTCCGTAGGTGTGGCAGAGTTGCAAAGGGGAAAATGGCGGCGACGGCGGCAGTGCAGGAGTGCACGTGGTGCTGCTGCTGCCGCTGTCGCCGATGTCGATGCAAAGGAGAATAGGGTCAAATTGTGCTGGTGTGGGGTCGTCGTCGGTCATGCCTTCTGCTTTGTGCTGCCTGGGTGCGGCGGGCTGACGGCTGACCCAAACTTGGCGTCGTTGTGGTTGAGCAGGTTACCCAAGTACTGACATCAAACGCGGCGTGCGGTTGCTCGGGTAGAGCGCTCATGTTGGGGTGGAGACGACTGTGGCAAGAGCTGCCCAGTTGCGTGCGCTTGTGGTCTCGGCAGATAGGGCGGCAGAAGGCTACTTTTCGTCCCTCGGCACATGCTCAGCGGCCGCGCACTGGCAGTTTGTCCGTCATCATGGCCTCGGAAGCAATCAAGCAACAGGTGCATGGCGTGTCCCAGCTCGCGGCTCACAAACATGGTCTGACAGTGACTGATACAAGACGAGCCACGTCTCTGCCACATGTCGCACAACAACGGCTGCGAGTGGTTCGCAGCGAGCACCTCACTTCGCCTCGTCAAAAATCCTTAGATCATATCCAATCCCGGTCTCTGTCAGCTCGGGCAATTATTTCAAGCAGCCCACCACGATTTACGGTAAGGCCAGATTTTGAACCGGTTGCCTCTGCCATCGTAGCAGCTCGTCATGTTTGCTCCATGTGGCTTTAACCGCAACTCGCCATCATGATCAGACTGGCAGGTGGGGCTGTGCGTGATCTTTTGCGCGGGCTCTCGCCCAAGGATCTGGATTTGGCCACAACCGCCACACCCGAGGAATCCAAAGCCATCCTGCTGGCCGCCCACGTTCGCGTCGTGGAAACTGGTCTTCAGCATGGGACGGTGACGGCCGTCATTGACGGCGAGCCCTTTGAAATCACCACCTTGCGTATTGACGAGCAAACAGATGGTGCGCCGACTTGATACCTCTCTTTCTCTTGCTTCAGCCGACGGCTCACGCGGACTGGTATGATCGGTTTGGTTTGGCTCATTGAATCAGGCCGCCGTGCCATGGTGGTTTACACGGACGACTGGCACCTTGACGCCCAACGGCGCGATTTGACCATCAATGCCATGTTCATGGACTTGCATGGTGAGATCCACGACTACTTTAACGGTGCTCAGGACCTCGAAGCACACCGGTTGGTTCCCTCCTGGACGAACCAAAGCCATTTAGATTGTGGGGCGGGGGGCCTTGGCTCAAGCTTGTTCACCCCCTTTCTAATCCTCGACCTTGGGTGTATCACGTCGCGCGATGCCACGCTGTAGCATTCGGTTTGTCGGGGATGCAGATGAGCGAATCAAGGAGGATTACTTGCGGATTATGCGCTACTTTCGCTTCCACGGCCGCATTGCACTGAACAACGAGCACGAGGCTGCTCAGCTGTCGGCCATCCGCGCCAATGCTGCCGGGCTCGAACAAATTTCTGGCGAGCGCGTCTGGATGGAACTGGCCAAAATTCTCGAGGTACAGCTCTTGTCTTGGCACAACAAGCACGGCCACGTTTCTTGTCTCGTTGTCATCCCCCAAAGTTAACGCTGTGCCCAACGCGGCCTGGCTGCTTTTAGACAACTCGTGCGCCAGACCTTTTGCGCACCATGCAGGATTGTCAAGTTCTCAATCACATTGGAATGACACAGGTAAGCACTCGTGTTGAACCACATTCGGTTCACGTTCGCTCAGGATGGCATTTTTACTTCCACGTGCCTTCACGTGTGGCAGGTTACTGAGGCCCATTTACAGGAGCTGCAACGGGTTCATCGGTCCGTATGCGCGCCTTTTCCAGTCTGCATGCCTGCATGGCTTTTATGATAGAGGCGAGGCTCACGCATCCAAATTGACCGTCTGCTGCTGCAGGGTCTGCCGTCATGCGCCGACGCTGCTGGCCACGCTCCTGGACACGGCTGCCGATCTAAATGCGCTTTTTGCGCGCTGGCGCTTCTCGCTAGCTGAGAAACGCCATGCTCAGTTTATTTTGGATCACCGGTATGCCTGATGCAGCTGGTGACGACACATGCTAGTCAAGTGCGCTGATAGGCCATGCCCCGTGTCTTTGTAGGGCTTCCGACTTGACACTAGAGGCAGCCGAGGACCTGCTGGTGGACAACACACCAGTGGCACATGTAGAAGGCCTTTGCTTATATCAAGAGCATGTTGATTGGGCTCGACATGTGGTGGCGTTTTCCATTCCAAGCTTCCCCATAAACGGACAGGTCTGCCGGCGGTGTCACATCGCATTGCGGGTTGGTGGTTTTGATTTGTCAGGTTGGCTGCTGAAAACTAAAAGCTCGCTGCTTATGTTGTCGGTTGGCAGATGTTGATGGAGGTGGGCGTGCCCAAGGGTCGAGTCATGGGTCGTGTCATTCAGGCGCTGCGCATCAGCTGGAAGGCTGCTCGGTACGTTTTTTTTTTTTTTTTTTTATGTCGGCCCGTGTTATCGCTTTCTACAAGACCCGGAAAACCGGCTCATGAAGCCTTGCCACCACAGCTTCACCAAATCAGCTGATCAACTCCTCGAGGAAGTGCCCGCCATCCTCGCCGAGGCCCAGTCATAACTCATCGGCAGGTCCTTCCCTCTCCCAGATCAAATTGACTTTTTTTTTTTTTTTTTTCTGACTTTTTGATAAAAAAAATGCCTGACACCATTTTTTTGTCAGATAAAGTGAACACACACACACACACACACACACACAGAAATGGCGGGCGCAGGTGCGTTGGCTGTGCGGGCGGGCGCACAGTTGGTGCTGCTGCTGTTGTTGGCTGGTTGGGTTGAGTGTGATGGCCCGGCGACACGGCGTATCCCAGCCACAAGCGAGCTTGGGCGCTGGGTGGATCAGCGCTTGCCTGTGCCGCAGACAGCAGCCGAGTTGAAGAGCATATCCGTGTCCGTGGACCAGGCCCTCGCCGCAGCCCCTGCCGCCTTGCTCGCCTCGGCCAGCTGCCTCGACGTGAGCTGCTTCTCGTGAACCTCTTGCGCTGGCTTGTACCGGCGGGGCTTGTCGATTAATCTTGTTGCAATGCACCGCATGTTTGGCAGCTGGTGCATCTGATCGACCAGCTGCGCGCTCTGGCTATCAAAGATCACCTCTTTCTGGGAGTCTCGCTGGCGGTGACGCCTGCCCAACGCCGCCAACTCGAGCAAGGCAAGACCGCTTTTTGCCCCTGCACTGTGCCGATGCATACTGGATGGTGGGCCAGCGTCCCTCATTATGGGTAGCTCGCTCATGCCGCCGTGCCCACCGTAGGCTTTGCCCTGGCTGTGTTTAGTCGGCCCTCTGGCTGCCTGCAGCAGGACCCACACGGCACAGCCACGCTGTCGCTGATCCTTGAGCTCTATCTGCCAATTACCCTGACCATCCTGGTCCAAAGTGGCTGGCAAACCGGGCCCATCCCTTCTCATCTTCGAAGCCAACTCGTACAAGATGCGCAGCGCACTGGAGATGGCCAGCTCGTGGCGGCGCTGCTTGCCGTGCTCGATGAGCAGTCTGTAACGCCCACACTCGATGAGGATCAAAAGCCATCCAGTCTGGTTTTTGGCACCTCCCTGCTGGGCGAGGCTGCAAATTGCAGTCAAGTATTGCCACATGTCGACGGCCATCCGTTGGCGCTGGCAGCCGCCATCCTACGTGGACAGCCCGTGTTTGTGAGGTGGAGCAGTGTCGCGTTGGTGCAGAGCCTATCGCCCCGTGCCATCACGCAACACTGGGGTAATGTTGACGTGCGCATGTCAAGCGTGCCCTACGGTGACACTTTTGGCCTTGAAGAAGGCTGGGCTTCCTTAATGGAGGTCTCCGACTATATCCAGCAGTATGAGGACAGCTTGCCGGCTGATTTTGCTGATGTAGATGCGATTGCAGAACTGGATGCCACCTGCCGCGCAGGACGCCCACCCCTCTACGCATTTGACAACATTATTTTGACTCGCGAGTTGGCACACGTGTGGGATGAGCTCCGTTCGCTTCTGACACGGGCCTACGCAGAAGCGCGGGCACCAGGGGCCTCATCTCCCGACCCACGGCTCTTACCCCAATTCTATTGGGGTCCTACCTGCAGCGGCGCGCCTTGGCATTATCATGACGATGCATGGAATCTGTTGACGAGTGGGCGCAAAATTTGGTGGCTGCAGGTATCTTTGTCAAAACGGCGCTTTTTGAAGGCTGTAGGCATTGTGAGTCTGCTTTCTTTGTTGCCGTGGCTCCTCTCACGCCATTGCTGTTGCTTTACAGGAACCCGTGCATGCTGTGTACAGTCGAGTCCCGCCGGCGGCAGAAGGCCAGCCCGCGCCCAGCGACTCTACTCTTCCAGACCTGCGCTGCATTCAGCATCCTGGTGCGGAAAACCACCCCAATCATTGGCTCAATGCCAGGGCACAATCTCACGGCGCATTGGTGGTGGATGTAGGGGAGCTCATCTTTATACCGCATGGGTTTGGACATAAGGTGCTCAATTGGGCTGCCAGCCTAGGCCTGGCAGTAGAGATTGATACCCATGCTGACTAAAAGGCACGTGCAGTGTCAAGGCTGTCAGGAAGCACTGCGCGGGCGCATGCTTTTCAAGCCTTGGTAAATCGCAGAAAGGCCACATCATGAGAATCGAGCGTCACTTTCCACGTCTTGGACCCAGCAGGCAATGACACTGTTTGGCCACTCCAAATGTCGCGCACGCTCATGTCCTGGGTGAGATTGAGCCCGGGTATCATGCTCAGGGGGGCATTGCAGGTCACGGTGGAGTTTTGCACATTGAGTATGATGGCTGCTGTGTCACCATCAGCTAGCGCCCCAGACCACACCTGTTGACGCACCGGTTAACATCAGACACTTGCATGCCAGCAGGGAAAGGAGGATTCTTTGGGGGTGGTCAGGGAGCAGCAGCAAGTCTCACCTCACAGCCATCAGCTGTGGCGTTTTGGAACCGGCCCTGCTGACCCAGGGGGTCTTGGTTGATGGCAATGGCATCTTTATTAGTCAAGATTTCCAACACGCTTCTGTTTAATCATGCAGCCACCACAAGTGAGGGGCAGAATGCCAACAGCTTGTCTGCGAGCTACGAGCGCAAGCATGTAGCATGGGCCAAACCGTGATGGGGGATTGGCAACCAGATCAGTGCCAATGAGAAGTGGCGCCTTCATGAGACACCACAAGGAAAAATGTGCCCGATTTTCAGCCATGGTCAGGGGTGCGTTGCCCACCTAGAACGCATGGATTGCAAGATCAATGAAATGGATCACAAAGCTCGAGTGAGAACGCAGCAACCTTCAGGCCGATGCGTTGTGGGTGGAAATCTAACCTCGAGCATGTCAGCATCGTTGAAGGCACCTGGTCGGGCTGCGGCAATGTACTGGTTGTTCTCATGGGCGCGTTGGTAAAAAGAGTCCCAGTTGGGGTTGATGTCAGTCGTGGTGCGCCAGCAGTTGGCGAGCGAATCATTGGCAATTGGGCCATGAATGGAGTAGTAGATGGGACGGCCTAGGGAGATTGGTGGCCCAGAAATGAGCCTGAGTTTGTGACGGCGAAATTCATATCTGGAGGTGGAGCAGAGCAAAGCTGATCGCACCTGTCTTGTTCAGGGCATCACGCATGTCAGGATACGAGGAAGGGCCCGGATTGCAGTTGTCGTGCTTGAGGTAGTCAATGCCCAAGCTAGCAAACCTATTTTCCAGCATTTGCAGCATGCAGCATTGCAGCGTAAGAAAAAAAAAGGCAATACAAACTGAGCTTTTAAAGCGAAGGGCGACGGAGGAATAGATTTACCAGGCGGCATCGGCGGCTTCATGGCCCAGCGATCCATCATTAGCGCCAGGCCAGATGCGGCTGCAGCACTTGTAAAAAAAAATAAAACCACATGGACATGCATGTTCCAGGTTGTGAAGAAATCTGATCTGACGGGATCAGCAGAGGTGGCCTCGAGGTTGTGTACCTGAACGGCGCCAGCGTCACTGTAGAGGCCAAACTTGAGGCCCTTATCATGGATGTAGTCCCCGAGGGCCTTGAGGCCAGAGGGATAGAGTGAAGTGTTGACCTACACGAAAAATCTTCCTTGTGAGTGAAGCAACAAGATGCGATGGTATCTGATCGCACGTTTCTCTGGCCGTACTACGAGCTGGCCCTGAGCATCGCGAAAGCCAGTGGAATAGCCACAGTCAAGGTTGACGTATTCGTAGCCAGCTTCCTTCAGGCCCAAAGTGACAAAAGCATCCGCCACGGCCTTGATCACTGTCTCGTTAAAGCCCACGATCTTCCTATCCCCATCGATCGCACATCAGACACGCCTGCGGTCAGCGAGAGACAAGAACGTTCTCCTCACGACTCGAGCCAGGGGTCAAGTACGTACGAGCCCGGCAGCTTGGGCAGGCCGGTAGACTCAATGCCGTAGCAATTCCAGGGATTAAACCCCATGGGCGGGGTCAATCCGAGTCCATTATCCAGGCTGAACGCAGGCGTGACCAGTAGCAACACCACCACCAGCCCCCCGGCTGTCATCTGTGACTGCCACACTGCCATTTCCTTCTTGCTGAACGTTATGAAAAAATTGAAAAAGTAAACACTTTTCAAGAGAGAGAGAGAGAGAGAGAGAGAGAGAGAGAGAGAGAGAGAGAGAGAGAGAGAGAGAGAGAGAGAGAGAGAGAAATTGTCAGTGTGTTTTGTTATGCGTCAGGGAAGTCAGGGGGAGGGAGCATAGTTTTGGGGATTGCATTGGTGGGGTCATGTACAATGACCCGGGGTCTGCAAGGGTCGAGCAGAGTCGGGAGGACACACGGATTGGCCCGGCTCCACTCGCCGACCTAAGCTTGGACTGCAAGCGGTAAACTGGGGGTATCTAATAAGTGTTTGTTTCTTCATGATTCTTTCTGTGGCTATTTGGCGGCCGTGCTTGGCAGATGATTCAAGTGAGGGCCTGGTCTCGCCGGGCTGATCTTGGCAGTTAGTTGGTACCATCGCTGGCGGCATCGAGAAGATGTGCATCTGCTTTTAAGCTCAAACGCTTGACAGTCTACGTCAATGAACGGCCCATGCGTGAGACGGCGCCCTCGCGCTCATGTTCAAGTCCAGAACATGACAAACGATGGCAAGACAGTACCTCGTAGGCCGCGATCAAAAAGAACGAGTTGCAGCCCATGTATACCATTCGCGCAGTCACGCCCTTGTAAAGACCCCTGAATTGGGAATGGCGAAGAACAATGATGACCGAAAACCACAGCAACAACTTATAAATTGCAGGTGCGAGTCATGGCTCAGCGGCCAAAGCAGCCGCTACGACGTACCGTATGCCTTCTTCCTTCATAAGCTCCTTGAGGATGGAGGAAAAGGTCTGGCCGTCACCGGCTCGAGCACCCACCTTGCAAGAGATAAAAAAAAAAAAAAAAAAAAAAAAAAAAAGTACGAGCGTGAGACGGCGAGGACGAACAAACCAGGGTTGCAATCTACGGCGACGAGATCAAGCGTCGGCACGCACTTGCAGTCGGGCGCGCACAACATCAAGCGGGTTGGTGACTACTGCTGTAATGACGCCGGCGGAGGAGCCGCCCAGCGATTGAAGCAGCATGGTATTGCCGCCTTGTTTCACAACATCATATCCCTGCTGCCAACGGCGCACAGCACCGTAGCTTGCCCACCTGTGAAAAACGGACAGCACGGTGATACGAAAGCAGATGAGATTCCAGTCCAAGGGCTACGACGTAAAATACAAAGAAGGTCCAGTGCAGAGCTGCAGGACGGGCTCGACGACGGCCCAAGAGCGCACCAGATGGCACTGGAGGGGGCAAAGGCGGCCACGGAAGCCCAGTAGCCCGTGAAAAAGCCACGAAGACCCTGGGGACATTACAGGAATCAGTAAAACGTGCTTTGTCGTAGAGTTTGGCACGAAGCGAACACACGTCGACAGGCGAGGCAGAAGGACTCACCTCCACTTTGAAAATGGAGCGAATGAGGGGTATCGCCTTGAGGCGGGGGATGCGGGCAACATTGGGGTCAACGTTTTGGCCGTGGACCATCATGCGTTGTGACACAACGTTGACGGGTACCACAATGGTCTAAATCACGCAGCCCATGATCGTACAGTGAAGCAAAGAAAGAAACGACCAAAAAGATTACAATAAAAGAGGGCGGGTACTCTGACTCGGCGGTGATTGGCAGACCTGGGCGACGGTCGAGGCCAAAAAGCCACCGAGAAGGTTGCGCGTCACCTCACTGGGCACGGTGGGTTGCAGCTTGACTTTGATAGACTCGTACAGGGAAATGTATCTGTCCGGTCGAGAGGGGCTTGGGTGAGCAGAGAAACGGCCTTAAAGAAACAGTTGGCGAGCGAGGCAAGACCCTGATGGACGTACAATTGGCCACCTGCCAGGCCCACAAGGTTTGGTACAAAGCCCTTGTAGAGAGCAAAAAAGCCTTCATGACGGATGATCTTTCGAGCTGCATCGACCATGCCATTGTACAAGGCCCTCTGCAACACGTCGGCGCCAGGCACGTGAGCTACATCAAAGGCAGAGGCAGGCATGGCTTGCTTGGGTACATTGTGATCTGCCTCACCTTGGTTTGTACTTGCAGACGAGTCTTGATGAGTTGCGTAGGGTAGAGCACAATGCGCGTGGAAAGGCCGCCCAGGGGAGCCAAGATGTAGAACCTACTCACGGCCATACATGAGCATACATCATATGTCAAGGGTATGCCAAGGCAACTCGACGAGCATGTGCGGGTCGGGGTCTTTGGGGCCAGGGTGACACCAACCTGGTCTTGTCCAGATGGTGCCATTCAATGACTGCGGGCTGAACGGGTGGAATCTTTCCAGCTGCTGGTCCGGGCTTGGGCTCGGTGGCCGGGGAAGGGGCCGCCATGTCGGCTCCAGCCATGCTGGGTGACTAGTTTTGTCAGAGTCAAAGCTGGAAGGGGCGGCAGTCAAGGTGAGGTGGGTCTTGAGATGATCAGGAAGAACACAGCATGATATCAACTACAAGCGCGGGCAGAATAAAAGCGAGGCGCCATCGACGCAAATACGCATCCGGGTCAGGCGCGCACGATGCAGCGCAACCCGCATGCAATAGCCATCCCCGCGCTCGTCGTCCGAGGCCAGCACAACCAAAAAGAAAGAAGACTCAAACTACCAACACACAGGCACCAACACACACACGGAGACAGACGGATACAGCCACACACGTGCGCACTCGTATGCCACTGTGCCGTCAGAATCGATTCGATCCAGCTGCAGCACGACCCGCTGCCATTTCACACACACACACACACACACACACGTACACACACACACACACACACACACACACACACACACACACACACACACACTCACACTCACTGGCAGATGACGGTAATAAGAATCATCCGAAAATTAAAGCCTTCCACCCTCTAAAATGAAACCAAAGACCTTTTTTGTTGTTCGGTGGTGATTCTTTGCATTAACTTGTTGGTGCAGGCTCTGCTCGAGAGAGTCAATTGGAAACGGGCGTGTTTGACTTTGTGAGCCGAATTAAATGCGCTAAAGAGGCTGAACAAAACGCTTTGCGTGCTTGGCGCTGGTATCAGTCCTGTCTTCCAACTTGTAGTGAACAAAGAGCTCAGGATACAGCTGTTCGGTTTCGAAAACAATAACTTCATGATGCTCACAAGCTGGCGTCGCAAGCACCGAGTCATATCTGCTTTGCCGGTGTGGGTGATAAACCAAACAACCGAAAACGTGAGAAAATAGCGCAGAGCAAGACAAGTTCAAGCATGCCGATTGCCGAACAACCAACCGCTCATTGCTGGGTGCGCTTTGCAGCAAGGGTGGAGCTAACCACGAGCTGCGATCAAGCTTGATTTCCCCTTGATCGAGGACGTAGGTTTGCCCCAGAAGTGCGCGCGTGATAATCAACACATGCTCGTTGTCCTCCGAGCACGGCATTGCAAATCGATGACTCTGTCAAACACGAATATGAGAGGTCGAGTTTCATACGCCATGGTGAAAGTGAAATGACAACGAACCTCTGCAGGGTTATCAGTCAAGTATACACCGAAACCAAATCGATGACCAGCGTTGCTTCCACTAAAGCGCTTGTCAAAACCCAACCGCGCAACCTTATCGCATAGCGCGCGATCGGCACTTATGCCGTGAAGCAGCAACCGCTCTTGGCATGGCGAGTCCCAATGCAAGACTGGTTGACCTGGTAGTGCATCCACATCATCTGTACGGAGTTGTGCAACGTGATTGTTGTTGTCGATGCGATGCAACATCTCCCGCCGCTTTGCACTGTAGCGCTCCCACAACACGGGGTTTTGAACGCGCTCTACTCGTTGTACGACAATGTTGGCTAGTCCCCGCCCATCAGGGCTCAATTGACAGAGCAGCTCAGCCACCTATGCACACAATAAATTCAAATCAGACGACCTGTAAAAGAGCATCAAATCGTCGTAAAACGCACCTCTGGAATAAGCTCGGGCGCGTCGCGCAAAACGTCAATGGCTGGCCCGACTTGGGCAGCAGGTTGCTGTAGAATTTGCCCGGCGCTAAGTAGATTCGGCCTTTGCTTCTGATCTGTTGCAAGCAAAGCTCGCGTTTCCTTGTACAGCTGGCTCGTCGAGTCGCACATCTGCATCAGAAGCCAAGGTGAGTTTCAATCAAATAGGACGCGCGGTGGCCAGTTGCCAAACAAGAGATTTTGCAATTCGCTGACCTCGGTAGCCAACTGAGGGAAGGCGCAGTTGAGATCTTCCAGATGCATGCTCCATCTGCATTGATCCACAACCTCATCGGTCTGCGACCGAGCCGGCGGCACCGTTCGCGGGAACATGTATGTGTTGTAGAGAACGCAGCCAAAGGCAAAGGCATCCTGTGCCGGACGCGCCCCCACACGACCACGGCCAAAAAGCACCTCTGGAGCGACGTAGCCCGCCGTGCCAGACAGGGCAGTAGCCGTGAATGGTAGCATGGTGGCTTCAGCGGCGGCCTTGGCAATGTCAAAATCACCCAGCCGCACGACGGGCTGGTCCTCCTCGCCGTCTAACATGACATTGCTCAGCTTGACATCTCGGTGTACCAGGCCCTTGCTGTGCATAAACGCCAGGGCCATGCGCAGCTGCGTCATGAGTCCTGCAACCACGGTCGAGGTGGCCAGATGGCGCGCCCTACCGAGCCACTGCTGCAGATCCCCCTGTGTACACCATGGCTGTACCAGGTATGCGCTTGGGTGGCCATCTCGCACATCCACAAGCGCGCCGAGGACTGGGACGATGTATGGGTGCTCAAGCTGACGCATGGCGCGGAGTTCGCGGAGAAATGTCCGGCATTGGTCCTGCTTGTGTTGCTCGGCAAGTGCATACTCTTTCACAGCCAAATCTTGCTCAGAAAGATTCGGCAGCGTTGCGCGGGCTTTGTACACCTTGTGATTCTGGTTGTATTGGAGAGACAGTTGGCCCAGGCTGGAGAGCGTCAAACCCTGGTCTACTTCGGTCATGGCCTCCAAGATGAGGCTGGCTGGAAGGTCGGGGCCAAGCACTGTGCGGAGCCGCGCTCCCAGCGCGCTCTGGTCAGGGTACAAAAAGACCAGAAGAGCTGGGAAGTGTTGGTGTAGCAGCTCTGCCAGTGCCGCCACCTGGTCTACCTGTGTTTGATCCGATAGTTGTCGCTGCAAAATGACCAAACGCTCCTTCATAGTTTGTAATCGAGCCTCGAGGCCAGCTCGCATCTCTTCGGGAGCCAAGGGCAAGAATGCCGTGGTTGCCTGGATGTTGTTCTGCAGCTCGGCCACTTTCTCGTGGATGGATACGACTTGATCCGTGCGGCTCTGCGTGATGCCATCGGCATAGCTTTGGCACGAAGTTAGCACGGACAGCGTCGTGGTCTGCCAGTCGATCATGTCTTGCAACTGCTGCACCAGGGCTTGCGCCTCGTGAAGCGCAAACGCCAGATACCAGTCTTGATGTCCATAGTCATGCTCTGCTCTCCAGGTTATCAGCTGCTCCAGGCCGTTCTGCTCGGGCAAGCTCAGCTTTTCGTGGGCTTGGCACAACTCCTCCCAGGCCTCGGGCAATGCCTCGGCTGGAGGTGGTGCACTCAAATCCAAGCCTTGCGCACTCTGCTCGAGTGTATCGACGCGATGGTCCGTGTCAGTGGTTCCCGCTCTTGCCACAGCACGCAGGGCAGTAATCAGCGCCTTCGCCAGCTGCTGGAGGTTGCTGTTGGCGTTGGTGAACAGTTCTATGCGGTTGGTTTCCACGTCGCGTAGCATGGCGACTTTATCCAGGGCTGCACCGAGGTTGGCGGGCGGCGTTTCGGGTGCCATTGTCAGCGTGGTGGGTGGAGCGGGGCACGCTGCCAGCACGGTCTGAAGCTCGAGAAGCACTGGCTGTAGCTCAAAACCAGCAGCGGCATTGTGCAGCGCTTGCAGTACTGATTCTAGGTTGTCAGTGTTGGGGTCCAATTGACCCAAGCGGTTGTTCAACGCTTCGGGCGCTGCCAGTGCCTGGTCGAGCGCGCCGAGGGCCTGGGTGGTGGTCGCCTGGAAGGCAGCCCAGTCCATGGCAGGAAACTCTGGTGGCGCTTTATCGATGGTCCTCTGGATGTCCGCAACTGCCGTTGCAAGATTGGGGTTTTGTTTGGCGGCACCGCTGATAAAGGCATCGAGGTGGGGGAGGGGATGGCTGGTGGTGCGCTCCGGCAAGAGGGGCCTGAGCCAGGTATCCACCGCCACCACAACAGAGGCCGTGGTCTAAATCAGGGTTGTGTGGTGCCATCGGTCGTGATCAGGTTGAATGAGGCCGTGGGGATTGGGGTAGTAAATGCATCGGGGAAAACATGATAGGGGGAGCAGGCTCACCTCGAGGGTGGGGGTGGGGGGCAGAGGCGGCAGCCAGGCAGAAGGCGGTGCCGGCGTGGGCGGAGCGAGGGGCGCGGGTGATTGCGATAGGCGAGTCTCGTGGGCAGCAAACACGGGCTCCAGCTTGTCGCCATGTCCATTGTGACGTCCGCATTCGAGGGGCGTTCGACCACCCTGAGAACATGTGATTGGAGCGTGTGAGGTGGGCAGCGACGCGAGGGCTGAGTTGGGCGACGTGCATTTGCTTTCTAATAACAAAGGCGAGGTAACAATGTTTTAATGTGTGCTAAAGACGCCAGACGCGCGAGTGGTGTGAAAATGGTGCGGGCAGGGGGTCCGAAAGGAGACGCGTTTGGAGAAGGAAAAAAAAAAGAAAAAAGAAAAAAAGGCAACGGCGCGTGTGCCGGGGGCAAACGTGAAGGCACGGCCACCGAAAGCCGCTTGGGCGAGCGAGGGAGGCAGAGACATGATGGAAAGGGGGGTGGAGTGGTGCCCGGATGGATCAGAAAAAGGCAGAGCGAGGACGGCAGGCGGAAGACACCAGCAGGGAGCAGGGCGGGGCGCAGGGAGCACCGGCAAAGCGCGGACGCAAAGCAGGGGGAAGAAGAGGGATAGCGGGAAAGAAGAAAAGGAGCCAGGGGGGAGAACGGACGCGCACGGGTGGGCAGGGTGTAGAGGAGAGGAGGGACGGGGGCAAAGGCGACGGGGCAGCGGGAGCAGGAGCAGCAGCCAGAGGGGTAAAGGGGGGGAGAGGGAGATACTGTACTGACCTTGTTCTTGGCATTAGCATCAGCACCGTGCTTCAACAGCATCTCCACCACCTTGACATGACCGTAAGCGCAGGCCAAGTGCAGTGGTGTCCAGCCACTCTGTGGGATGATGCATCAGCATGACGTACAGGTACAGCATCAGCATCATCATCATCATCATCATCATCATGGGGTACAGGTGCACCATCATAAGGGGGTAAAGGGGGGAAGAGGGAGGTACTGTACTGACGTCGTTCTTGGCTTTAGTATCAGCACCGTGCTTTAACAGCATCTCCACCACCTCGACATGACCGTTTTCGCAGGCCCTGTACAGTGGTGTTTTGTCATCCTGTGGGATGATGCATCAGCATGACGTACAGGTACAGCATCATCATCATCATGGGGTACAGGTGCACCATCATAAGGGGGTAAAGGGGGGAAGAGGGAGGTACTGTACTGACGTCGTTCTTGGCTTTAGCATCAGCACCGTGCTTTAACAGCATCTCCACCACGTTGTCATGACCCCAATAGCAGGCCCAGTGCAGTGGTGTATAGCCACCCTGTGGGATGATGCAGTATATGTCCCATGTTATACCATAACGTCACCACATACAGTAAATAATTAAAAGTGTAACCAAGATCACACTACATAATACAAACAGCATACGTACCTCACTTCTTTTTTGGGCAGCATCTCGAATACGTTGTTGGTCCCAACTGCTCACCAGCTGCAGCGCCTCTTGTGGATTTGATGAACGACACGCATCGAACAGCTGCTTTCCATCACCCATGGTCACGGTATCTCTTTCGTTTTCCACCACCAATCTCATGAACCCCCTCCAAGTTTCAAAACCCAAAATTCGGACTGGGGTGCGACGTGCGCGCGCAGTTCCCAAAGCGGCAGCCAGTCGGCGGGCCTTTGCTCTTCCCTGCCTGATGCGCCAAACGACTCACCTCTGTCAAGAGTTGTGGGTGACAGTTGCGAGAACCGGTGTACTTGGTTGCCCAGGCGCAGGCGAGATCGATGGCCTCACCAAAATCGCAGTGATGCTCTCAACCAAAAAGTTCCGGCGTTGCCGCAAGGCCCCATCGGAGCACAAGCAATCAGTCACCACACAAAAAAGACGCCTCAAACAGCTCCGCTGATGCCAATGTCGATGTCGATACCGATGCCAAAGAGGGGAAGTAGGAAGAAGAGCAAATGCCAAACAAGAAGAAGAAGAAAATGCAAACGGTTGCAACCTTTTTTTATTTTGTTCAATCACGCAAGCAAATGGCGAAGTGCGGAAAGTGACGCGGACTGCAAGTCAAACGCACAAAAAAATAAAGCAAAAGTTTTCACCTTTTTTTCCTTTTTTTATTTTGCAATCACGCAAGCAAATGCCGAAGTGTGTAAGTGTGTAAGAGTAAAAGTGGTTGCGAAACTGCTGCCATCTCTGTCACGAACCAGTGAGAAAGGAGAGATCGCGCTTTTTAGGATGTGATCTGTTTGTGGTCAATTCACAAAGCAAACAGAGGAAATTGAAACGGGAAAGGTACAAAGTAAAATGCCACTTCTGGTCTACAGAACCGTACTTATATCTCGGTGGCAGGAACAATCACAATGTTCTACAGGCTTCCTTGACGAGCGCCGTCAAGAATCATCAGACATCATCCTGGACTGGTATCTTCCAGAGTGTTCCAGCAGCTTCTGGACATACGTCTATGCTTGTAGTCCAATACTCCCCCTCAAGCAGAGAAGCATAGCTTGCTTGTATGACGTTCATGAGCATCTCTTGGAAGCGGCTTCGTCAGCAGATCAGCTATCATCTCATCAGTAGGACAATACACAATGTCCAATTGCTGTCGCTCGTACATCTCACGTAACGCGTAAAATTTGATCAACATGTGATGTTGTCCACGCTGTGCATTGCCATTGATCACGTTGGCGATGGCAGGTTGGTTGTCGCAATAGATGAGTGGTTTCAAGTCGGGTGAGAGATCCAACAACTCGTCCATCAGTTCATGCAGGATCAGGCTCTTGATAGCACCACTGTGTGCAGCCATATACTCAGCTTCTGCAGTTGATGCTGCTGTAGTCGTCTGTCGCTTGGAACGCCAGTATACTGGTCCGTTGCACAAGAAAATAACGCAACCTTCACGTGATTTCTTGTCATGCTCTTGAGCAAAGCTTGCATCAACGTACGTATCCAGCTGCAATCTCGTAGCAGGCGCTTGGCAGCTTGCCAGTGAGTCTCATCAAACCCCTGATTGTGAGCACTCAGGAAGCTAACTGTGGCAGCAATGTCTGGTCGAGTGTGAGTAGCCAGGTAATTGAGCTTGCCTGTCAGCTTGCGAAAGGGAAATGACTCATCTCGGGAATCGATTCGCTCGAGCTTGAGTCCAGCAGGCCACGGTGTCGCTGTTGGCTTGGATGAAGCCATGTTGAACTCCTTGAGAATGCTTTCGATGTATGCAGTCTGCTTGATCACGATGGAGTCCTTCGAAATGGTAAACTCCATGTTCAGAAAGTTCTTGATCTGTCCAAAGTCTTTAGTCTCAAACTTGTGCAAGAGCTTCTGCTTGAAGTCGGCAATGATGCGCTCAGAGCTGCCCACGAGCACGATGTCGTCAACATAGGCCAATGCCCATAGCGTGTCGATGCCTGCCGTGTAGACGTAAACACATTCATCCTGTCGGAGTCGGCGGCAGTGCAGCCCAGTTCGAAAATACTTGTCGAGTTCAAGGTACCATGCTCGCGAGGCTTGCTTCAGGCCATAGACTGCCTTGTTGAGCTTTGCATACTCACAACCCCCAAGTCCAGCTTCAAGACCACGTGGTACACGTACATAAATGTCTTCTTCGAGAGGGGCGTGAAGAAAAGCCGTCTTCACATCCACTTGGTGCACGTGGTAATGCTGATGCGTTGCAAGTGCCATCAACAGGCAGATGGTGGTCATGTTCACCGTTGGCGAGTACGTCTCATCGTAATTGATGCCTTCACGTTGCTTGAAGCCCTTGGCGACAATGCGGGCCTTGTACCGGCCATCTTGCTTGATGTCGAATACCACACAAAGATCAAGCACATCCGCATTGGGCTTGTGGTCCAGGCCAATCAGGACCTGGTGTTCTTGAAAAGATGCCATCTCATTGTCCAAGGCACGTTGCCAGGCGGAAGCATCTGGGCGAGTGAGAGCGTCTGCCACGCTCTGTGGTAGTTTTGCAGTCGAGCACCGGTTGGCAAAGTGGCCTAGTTCGGTTTCATTCAGGCGATCATACTTGCTCTTGTTTCGGCCATTGCCGGCGCTTCGGCGTGCTGCTAGGCGGGCTCCAATACCGTCGTCTGCTTCAGGACTGCTGGGCAAGGAATGATTTGTTGGTGAGGCAAATGGTGTTGCATCTGGACTTGATGTTGCTGTTGGTGATCCTGGCACCGGTTCTGGGTCATCAAACATCATTGGTACCATAGCCTCTGTGGTCTCCAGGTCAGCACTTGCATGAGTGTAATCCGCACTGCGCCATGGCTGCAGCGAGTCGAGTGATGGCAACGTCACATTCTCCCCCTCATCACGAGAGTGGGGCGTCAGCTTCAAGTGCACGGTCTCAATCATCTTCTTGGTATCCAGCATGTACACCTTGTGCGAGAGCTTGGCAGGGGAATATCCCACGTAAATGCCCTTGCGCGCCTTGCGGCCAAACTTGAAGTCGCGGTGGTCCTTGTCACAGACGTACGCATCTGCACCAAAATCATGCAGGTCCAGGAGTGTATGTGGGTTGCGGCCATGCAAAAGCTGGTAGGCCGACATGTCGTTGAGAACCTCCTTGACCTTGATGTTGATCAAATATTCAGCGTGCTTGGCTGCATACGCCCAAAAGCCACGGGATAGCTTGCTGTCCTCCAGCAGTACACCAACCATGTCTCGAATTTCACGAAACGTGTTCTCAATCGCACCATTCATCTGCGGTGTGCGAGGTGGCGAGCAGCGCCACGTAATACCGAGCTCCTTGAGCTTGGTTCGGAAGGCAGTGCTGCGATACGGTCCATCGTTGTCACTCTGAAAGATAGTCTGCCGGGCAATATCGCGCTCATTGACCTTGACGGGAATGCTTGAATCGCGCAACATACGCTGAAAGCTCACCAGCAGCTCGTCTTTGCTCTTGACCGGGTCCAAGAACAGGTAACCAGTGGCAATGTCCTTGTATGCAATGATGTACTTGTCGCCACGCAATGATGGGGGCGAAATGGGGCCAAACATGTCCGAGACCATCAAATCTCCCGGGCGACGAGGTGCCCTCGGTTCAGCTTTCTTGGGAATGGAGGCGAGCTTGGCCTTGTGAAGATGACATTCCTCGCAGCTGTCTAGCTTGTTCTCCAACTGCGTCAAGTCGACCTCCTTGTCCTTCAACATCTTGCGCGTTGCTGCTGCGGGTGGGTGTCCTAGGCGTCGGTGCATGTCAACAATGGTGTCATAGGACATATCTCGTACGACGTCAATGTCAAATGTGTAGAGTGGCAGTCCGTGCATCTTGTACTGAGCCTTCCACACCACGTTGTCCTGCTTCATGACAATGGTATCATAGCTTGGCATGGTCACGTCCACGCCGGTCTTGCCCAGTTGACTCGTCGAAATGAGGTTGCGGGAAAAATCAGGCACGTAGCAGGCATCACGCAGCACGATCTGCTGCATCACTCCATCTTCATCCGTCACCAGCATACGAGCCGTACCAATGGCTTGAGATACCACCATGCGTCCTCCAGCATCAATCGGGACCTTGTGGATCTCCATGCTTTCGAAAAGTTTGGCATTGTTCAGAAAATGGCTGCTTGCTCCTGTGTCCACAATGGCCATGTCTTGACCTACTGGAATGCTTGCATGTGCCTCCTCCTGCACCGTGACAACGCTCACGTGCGCATAGGCACCAGGCGGCCCATTCTTCTGGTTCTTCTTGACGTCGTTTTTCTTCTTCTTGCAGTCAGCTTGCTTGTGGCCATAGCCCTTGCAATAATGACAGTTGCCGTCAAAACGATGAAATTCATCTTGTTGTTCCTTGGAATGCTGCTTGCCGCGGCGCACACCACGGCGCCCCCGGCCACGACCATAATTGCCTTGGTCAGGATACCTTTGGCCAGAACCACGTCCACGGTGAGATTGAGAGGCGTAGTAGGCTGCCTCAGCTTCTTGTTGTTCCTCACACGGCAAAATCCAACCCTTGGTTACGACGAATGAAATCTCCTTGTTCTCGGTAAGGTGTCACAGGCACCAAGTACACAGCTCCAGCCAGGCGACACAAGCACCAAGGCGAGCTCAAAAATTTTCCGCACAGCTCCAACCGGACGACACAGGCATCCACAGTGAGCTCAGGCTTTGTACAGCTCCAGCCGAGTGACACAGGCACTCCAGGCGAGCTCAGCTCTCACAGCTCCAGCTGGTGCAGCGCAACCACAGCGAGCTAGAAGCCGCAACACAGATCGAGACGAATTGTCAGCATGCGTCCATCGAGGCCCATAACCTTTGAGGATATGATCTGTTTGTGGTCAATTCACAAAGCAAACAGAGGAAATTGAAACGGGAAAGGTACAAAGTAAAAATGCCACTTCCGGTCTACAGGACCGTACTTATATCTCGGTGGCAGGAACAATCACAATGTTCTACAGGCTTCCTTGACGAGCGCCGTCAAGGATCATCAGACATCATCCTGCAGTCGTTAATCACGATAGTCAGGACTGGTATCTTCCAGTATGTTCCAGCAGCTTCTGGACATACGTCTATGCTTGTAGGCCAATGAGGCTGGCTGGAAGGTCCGGCCCAAG